CGGCACTCTACCCAGGGTGACAAGTTGAGGCTCTGTCTCAAAAAAAAAAAAAAAAGACCAGGCTGGGCAACATAGCAAGACCCTATCCCTACAAAAAATAAAAAATGTAGCTGGACATGGTAGGGTATGCCTATAGTCCCAGCTACTCAGAAGGCTGAGGATCACTTGTGCCCCAGGAGTTTGAAGTAGCAGTGAGCCATGATGACACCACTGCACTCCAGCATGGGAAACAGAGCAAGACCCTATTTCAAACAAGAAAAGAAGGGTCCTGGTACTCATAAGAAATAATCATTACAGTGGAGTGAGAGAGGCTGCCACTCACACACTCTGGGATTTCAAAACAAGTGATTGTTAATAATAATAGCAAACATCTACCTAGTGCAAGATGCTGTTCTGAGTGCTTTACATAAATGGACACATTTAATCCCCACAACTACCCAATAAAGTTGGTATGATTATAATCCCCACTTTACAAGCAGCACAGAGAAGTTAAGTAGCCCAAAGTTCCCCAGCTAGTGCCATAGTAGATATGGAATTTGCTCTACTGCCAATAACAGAAAGGAAAACACCAGGCAGGAACAAGGGCCTGGACATAGTTGATGAAGGAGCACTGAGGGAAGGAAGCAGCGACAGGAGTCAGAGGTCTTTGCTGAAACCTGGCCTGTACGTTGGCCCTTCCCATGTCAAGGTTGCTTTTGGCAACTTTGATGGGTTATTATTAGGAGCAGGAAAAAGAAAAGGAAAAATACTTATTTGCCACATATCCACCATTTGTACATTTGTCTCAACTGAAAGCCAACTCTGTGCTTCACGATTGTCTGATGGGAGAGAGAATTTTCTGAAGTGGCCTTTACTCCAAGAGAGGCTGTGGAATTTTCTTCCTTAAAAGTCTCTACAACAGGGCGGCATTTATGGCTCAGTGGGTAAGGTGCTGGCCCCATATACCGAGGGTGGCAGGTTCAAATGCGGCCCCGGCCAAACTGCAACAAAAAAATAGCCGGCCC